TTATAAATATCGAAAGTAAACGATTTCGACAATATTCCTGTATTTTTATGTCAACAATCATTTTAATAAAAGTTCGAAAGATTTTATCAGTTATTATTAAATGAGCTAAATTAAATTTCTTTTGCTTAAAATTACCTCCACTTTCACTCTTATGGTTATTAGCTAGATATTTTGAGATATTAGTAAACACGTTCGAAATTCAGAAGAAAATACCGATCTTCAACCAATCAAAAAGTTTTTATTTAATGAATTTGTATTTAAAAATTTTGATTTAAAACAATAATATTTAGTTTGGCAATCTAGCACTTGGTCAACAAGCTCCAGCATTTTCAACAGTTGGTAAAGCATTTGTTGCACTTTTTCGTGCTGTACTTGGTGATTTTGATTATGAAGCTATTAGTGATGCTTCACCAATTGCTGGACCATTATTCTTTTTTCTTTGTAAGTTTTCAATATTTATTTCAATTTTCTAAATTTTAAATCATATTTCAGATATTTTCTCCATGGTTTTTATCTTATTTAACATGGTTTTAGTATGTATTTTTACTTTTTAAATTATGTCATCTTTTTTTTGTCTATTAAAATCGATCGATCTATTTAGGCTATTATAGTTGATTCATATGAAGAATTAGGTAATGAACATCGTGATGTAATTAATCGAATGTTAATTAATGTAACACCAGTTGTTAAACATTCTATTCGAAAATTTTTTGAACGATTTGGTCTATGGAAAAAAGTAAAAGTTATTGTTCAATTTATAATTAGTGCTGAAGATCCATTTAATTCAAAAACAGTTGCTGATCTTTTACAAGAATTTAAATATTCTGCAACATCATCATTATATGATGAACTTCGACATGCATTTGCACATGATATGACAAAATTAATATCAAAAAAAGATTTTCAAGCATTTTTAAAATATTCACGTGATGATAAAGATCGTCAACGTGATACATTACAAAGTTTATTTTCTGGAAATACGCCCTTAATAGATTTCAATGAACAACAAGAATGGAGTAAACGTGCAAGAAATTTATGTACAATACAACAATGGGCACAATTACGATATCGAATAGCACGTTTAGAAGAATTATTTGATTTAATTGAAGGAAAAATTGATTATATTATTCGAACATCAGATAGTTTACTTCAAACTGTAGCATCATCTTTTGAAAGATCAGATAATGAAAATGTTTAATTAAATCGATCCTTTTTTTTTTTTGCTGTTTCTTTCATTATAGTTGTATACTAAAAGTAATTCTATATATGTGTTAGTGAATCTTTTTTAATAATAATGTCTTATGTTATTATTTTGTCCAGATTTCAATTCATATGTCGTTATGATGTTTGAATCAAGAATGAAAATAAGAATATAAGAGCGAACTATTTCGAAGAATAAGATACGCTATATGTCTAGACTTTATTCAATAGACATACTCGTTCACAAACTATGCTCGTCACTGTTATAAATTTCGGACAATAATTCGTTTAGTTTTGAACTCTAAAAGCATTTGAATTGAATTCTGTGGATGTGATTTCCGTTTATGAATAAAACATCTCAAATTTGATATTGTTTAAATACGAAGAAAACAATTTTTTATGTCATATTCAACAGAGTTGCCCAGGTGATATTTATCTTGAAAGTAAACTAACCTTTATCATTCTAACCGCATGATGTTATTTATTTATTCTACTGTATAATGATAATGTCTATGATAAAAGAAAAAATGTATCGTGTAATAGCAAGCTGTTGTGTAAAAAATTGGTAAATAGTTATATAAATAATTAACCTTCAGTAGTAATACAACAACAGTCAAGAAAAATTGCTTTTTTTTTTCTATTGATTGCAATGAAGGTTTGAGTGTGACATTTTATTCCAAACGATCACCTAATACTAAGCCCTGAATCAATCAAAAAAAAATTCCTTCAAATATCAATATTTTCTTTTTTTTCCCAATGGCAATGATTCTCTTCTTGTCAAACGTATGGAAGAGCTCAAATCAAATAATCTCAATGTACACACATTTTGTAAATATCATTACGAACTCACGCAATGGAGTATATATGAATCTTGCTTTTATACATACTGTAATCAATAATAAATACAACTATTATATCATTATTGTACAATTTGACAAAGATTATAAAGAAATAAAAGAACGATTAGAAAAAAAAAAAACCATTCATCCTTCAAAAATCATATTGAAATATACTGTCTTAATGATCCTAAAGAATGAATTCAACATGTTCGTGAACTGAATAAAGTCCAAACCGTGAATCAAGACATATCGAAAAATGTAAAGACTTAACAAACAAAATAGTTTCAATTCATCAATTGTTAATAACTAATATCAAGTTCGTGATATGAAAAGATTGGTCATTGCTTTACTTGAATATTATTACTTAGTATCGTTGCTTTTATCTTTTATTACTTTTACGATTTTTAAACATGCAAACATACACACACATACAAAAACAAGCTCGACATTATCAATAAACACTACCTTTACGTTTGAAAATATATCTCTATTAGAATTATAGCAACAATCATCATGCTTATATAGACTTTTATCTTGATGATCAACATTTAGAAGTTTATTTTATCATTATCATTCAACATGTGAAGAAATAATTGGTCTGAATCATTAGTTATTTAAAGATTACCTGCAAAAAACTCATTGAAAAAAAAATAATATAGATTTTCATTTATCTCTTTGATCTCAATAATAAGATTTGTTAAATTTAGAACTTAAATAATAAACTTCAACTAATAATAATTTCATTACTATTCTATTAATGAGAAGATAATATCATTGTCTCTTTTTTTTCTGTTTCAATAATACTATTTCTGAAATCTAATTAATTTTGCCATTGAAATCAATGTTAATAAGACATTTCGAACTAATATTAAGTATTCAATGGAAGTTCAAGTTTGTTCATCTATCCTAATTTTAGTAAATGACAAAAAATCCAACATTTGGCGTCATCTACTGTCTACCATACAATGAATGGATAAAAAATGACAACGAGAAAAGAAAATGTGGTCAGTTAGTAATAGTCCATTCTTCTCGTTTACTGTACACGTTTATAGGTTAATGTCGTTTTGTCGTCTTTTTCTTCTATACCTCCATATATATTTTATATAAAAAAAAAAGCAAGTAAAATCTTAGTTTTTAGATAAGAAAAAAATAAATTAAATTCATATTGAGAATATATTTTCTTTCCTTTTTTGTTCATTCATTTCACTTAAGACAAGAGAAAAATATAGTTAATTTCATTGATATTCTCGTTTTGTCGATCAATGTCATTATTAACTGGTCCTCTTGAGAGTTTTTATTTCTTTTTAGCTCTATATTCAGTCGACAAGCGAAAAGAAAGAAGCAAAATATTAGTCAGAAGTTTCGTCTCATGCCATTTAAATCATGTTAATTTACTCTACAAATAGAATGAATGAAGCAACAAGAGAGTATAATGTTTGTCGTTGATTTTTATATTCTTCTTATGTATGTCTATGTGCTCTGTGTACACAACTTCAATCATTCTCCAAAAACTGAATGATATTGACCATGTGTTAACTTAATTTTAGTTTGCTTGATTTAGCAAAAGAAAAGGAGGAGAGTTCACAATGAACTCTTTCATCGTCATCACGTTCGCTCAATTTTTTTCTTCATCACCAGATGATGAGATTCCATTTACATTTTCTATATGAGTTTGTAGTTGTTGCTTTTTTTTTCTGTTCTTCCCATTTTTGTATGTGTGCGTGTATGTAGTGATGAGGATCAAGTATTTGTCTGGGCGTTCGTGACGGCAGCAAGAGGGCGAAGTGAAGAAAGACGAGAAGAAGAAGAAAAAAAAATGAGTCGGGCATGTAGAGAAAGTAATTTTGTTTTCGTATTAGAAGTAGTGTATGTTGCTGAGTCATTCTTGATTGAAACAGAAAGGAAAGGAAAAGAACGACAGACGAAAAAGAATAAAAAAAAAAAAAAAACAAGAAAATACTGAGTATTATATTCATTCGTATGATTACTGCCGGCGGTCTTTTACAACAAGTTTTTCTTTCTCTTGTGACAACTGAGTAAGATATACATATTTTTTTACTCTAATAACGTAATTGTTCTATAGGTATTTTACTGAAAAGTCTTTTGTGGACATTATGATTTGATGTTGTTTTTTTTTTTTTTTTGTTTTTATAATACTGAAGGATCATTACATTAGAGGCTGTCTTTATGTTAATGTCTTGTTACATTTTTTTTTTTAAATTAGCATATTTAAATGAGACCAAGAAGACTATCAAACGATCAAATTCATAGGCTCGTTTATGAAATATATTAAAATGGAAGAACGAAATTCATGATAAGGTCGTTTTTATATTTTTAATTATAGGATAGTAGAAATATATCATGTAATCCAAACTAATTCTCTCATGCAATAAAAGTTTTGTTTGTTTTTCTTTTTTTTTTTTTGTTTTGTATGCTAATTAATTCTATTCTCTATCTTATAGATAGTTCAATAGGTTATATCTACTGAATGAAAGGCATTATTCTCGTAAAAAAACACAGATAATGGAATAGGTGTCAATGATCGAGCGATTGAATCATCTAAGCACGTGTTGACAAGGTTCAAAAGGTCAAAAGAAGTGTGAAAAAGTATGAAGCGTCATAAAACAGTAGCAGTACATGACACATAATTTATTTCACATGCAAACATTTGTCTCCTACTATTATCATTTATAGTTTTTATATTTGAAACATGAACATCTGTTTTCAGTCACAAATTTATATATGTCTCATTAAACAAACTGATGTGTATATATAAATATATGCATTTATTGAACTATTCTTTTGTTTATAGCTAACAGCACTATCATCATTTATCCCGTCTCAATAGTTCATCTATCATCATATTTATTATTGGTTTCTTTTTTTTTTATATGAATAATATTAAAAACAATCATTTTATTTTATTTTATAGATAAATATATAAGCTTCGAACGATTATTCATGTCGGATCATAATTTACTTGATGACGATGATCCACTTGTGTCGTTTGTTCAACCACAACAATCATCAGCAACAAAATCAAAACCAAATGATTCATTTGAAAATCATTTATTAGATGATATTGATCCATTTGGTAATCATAATGGACAAGAAGAAATAAATCATAATGGAACAAATACTAATAAGGATGTTAAAAATTCAAATCCATTTTCATTAACAAATGATCTTTTTCCATTAGATTCAAATGAAAATGAAACAAGTATAAAACATTTAAAAAAAAAAAAATCAATATTTGAGTTTTTTATTTATCATATTTAGTGACACATACTAAAATACATAACAATGAAGAATCGAATGATTCATCATTATTAAATTTTCAATCTCAATTAAATGGTAGCATTGCAAACAAAAATACACTTTTACTTGAACTTGATCCTGATGCTCCTAATTCTATAAATCCTATGAATAAAGATACACCATCACCAAATGATCCATTTAAACAATTTTCAAATATATCATCACAACAAAATAATCAAATTGAAACACTTCTTGATTTCGATGGTTCAAATGATAATACAAATAGATATGAACAAGAAACAAATTTAACAAGTTTTAGTAATCCATTTTTTGATATAAAATCAACAAATACTAATGAAAATTCAAATATTTCTTCACAATCAAATGAATCCGAAGAACAATTATTACGTCAAGCATCACAAGAACTTGATGATGCTGTACAAGAATTAACTGAAAAACTTGATTTAATTACTTCACCATCACCACCATTAACATCTGATCAACAACAACAACAACCTGTTGTTTCAACAATTGAAGAAAATCCATCTGCTATTTCAACAGAAACAGATTCAAATTTGCCAACAGCATCCACAGCAAAAAAATCTACTAGTAGTATAGCACGACCAACAAGTTCAACAAAAACTAAAACATCATCAACAACAAGTACTACATTAAAAAGTACAGAACATAAGCCAGCTGCTGCTGTAGCAAAGAGCACAGAACATAAACCTGTCGTCTCAACAACAAAATCTACTGAATCAAAATCATCAACAACAACTCGTAAAACACTTCATCCAGGACCAGCAACAGCTGCAACAGCTTCTAATAAATCAAAATTACTACCTACATCTCCAACTCATGAATCATCAACAGCACCAAAACCAACAGTGAATATCATAATGAATATAAGAATATCCATTCTTTTTCTTTTTGTTCTTCTTCTTAGCGTGATGTTCCAGTTAAACCTCATTCAGCTACAACAAAATCAAAACCTACTGCTAGTTCTTCAACAACTGCAACTACAAGTCGATCAACAACTAAACCAGTAACAAAACCAATTCGTCCTTCAACAGTTCCCAAAACTTCCGATTCAACAATACTTTCTACTGCACCGGAAGGTAGTGCTTCATCATCAACGATTCCATCGACAACCTCAACAACAAAATCACACGTACGAGCACCTCAACCATCTACAAAACCACCGACAAAAACAACTTCCACTACTGCTTCCTCACATGCAGCATCATCAACGACTGTATCTACTAGTAAAACAACAATTATAAAACAACGACCAACATCACATAATCGAGCTATAGGTTAAATTCACGTTATTGTTACTCTATTAAATAAATAATGTATGTTTTTTTTTGTTGTTGTTGTTGATTAGCTTCAAGACCATCAACAGCAACTAGTGTTCCACCAAAACGTTCGAATAGTGCTACTCGTCCATCGACAGCTGATACTACATCACGTCCAACACGTTCAACTGCAGTTGAAAGTGCGTCAGGAACAACGGTGAGAAAAATATTTTTTTTTTAAATTTCATTCTAATCATTCAATGTTTTCATTTTATATTTTAGATTACAACTAAACCACAATGGAATTCAACTACATCAAAAGTTGGATCTCTTCAAAATACAACACATAAAGCCGGAGGTGGTATTGTTAAGGTAAATCAAGTGGAAAAAGTCACTCAAAAAAAAAACTAAAGAATACAGGAAAAATAGTTCTTATAAAATTAATATTAGATGTATTTATGAAAGTATACCATTCATTATTTATCCGGACAAAAACGATCGTTTACAAACAATGTAAAAAAAGATTCATTGGTTCGTAAATAATTGTTTTGTTGAATCGTGTAAAATGATCGTATAGAGATCTAAGTACGTGCATTAAGATGTCTTGTCCTCATGGGACTTTGACAAAGCAAGTAATGACTGATTGATTAGTTTTTCGAGAAGCACCTTAAAATGGGTCTCATATCCAATATGAGAACGAATTCCTTTTAGTTTCACTGAAACCCACTAGTGAATAAGATCGATTGACGAATATTGGTAATGATTATAATTTTTAATTCTTATAGATTCAAAGTCAAAAATTACAATGGAATGCAAAATCAAAAATTGGTTCACTTGAAAATGCTCATCATAAACCAGGTGGTGGTGCAATTAAAGTATGTTCAAATGTTTTTTTTTTGTATCAATCTAATGATCATAATTTGTTCTTTTTTTCTCTCTTAAAGATTGAAAGTAAAAAACTTGATTTTAAAGAAAAAGCTAAACCAAGAACAGATAGTGGTAAACATGAAACAATGACATCAGGCGATGGTAGAGATGATGTAAATGCTGGTGCAACAGTTAATGATGGACATCATAAAGAAGATGAGACGGCAGATGAAATTTTCAAAACAGAAAAAGATGATAACGGTGACAAATAAAACAAGTGATGATTATCAAATAATACAAAACATTTATTGCATTTCATTTTTCTCTCTCTCTCTCTCTCGTGCACTCTCATTCTTATTATTTAATCTTTATAAATAGCTGTTATTCATCATTATTGTCTGTAAAAATTAATAATCAAAAAACAAAAAAAACAAAAACAAAAATTTTCTTTGACATAATTCTGTTTTTTTTCTTGTCTCTCGATCTCTGTACTTTGTTCGTGATTGCATTATTCTAAATTTTGTCTCGTTCATTATACATATAGACTGATGACATAATTTAAACATCAATATGTTCTTCTTCTTGTTTTTTAGAGCTAGACATTCTTTCTTTTTTTTGTATCATGATCCATGCATTTCTTTCTTTTCTCTTCAAACGTATTTGCTGGTTGTTAACAGGAAAAAAACAAGCAAACAAAATATATTTACAAAGTTCTCTGTTCGACTTATGCAAAGCAGAATAGGGTGCATTCTTTAAAATCTCTTGTTTTATGTATATACATATTAAGAAGAACAAATTGAACGAATCAAAATAATGTTGACTGAATATGAATGAAATAAAATAGAATTCATTAGTTGCGAAAATTTTTCTATCTCGTTACGATCAGATATTAAATATACATATAACAAGACACATTATGATCTTTTAGAATAGCTGGATTGCTTTCTTTTTTTACTCATTCAATCCGTTTCGTGTCAATGAAATTTATCAATTCCAAGAGCTTGTCTTTTCCTGTGACTTTTTTCGATCATTAGGATTTCCATGTTTAATGTATGAGTATTAATATAGAATGAATTATTATTTTAGAAAAGAAAAACTTGTTAGCGCATTCCCTTTGGGATTGAAATGTGGAACTTGCGTTGTTTACTATTTGCTCTTTATTTTTTCTATTGGTTTAACTAACAAATAAATCTGTTATACATATCCACTATATCTACAATAGATAGATCTTAAAATATTACATCATTCTTGATATCTTAAATATAAAATTTTTATCTAAGAAAAAAGAAAAAAATTGCACTATTAACAATATTCATAAGCGTATTTCAGTCATTCAGATTTCAACGAAAGTTTTGGAAGATTCTAGAGGAGTACCTCGATGAGTAAAGTTTGTCGTGGGGGGGGGGGGGGGGGGGGGGGGGCCGCGGACCTTTACGAAAAAAACGTCGGAATAAAGATTTTAAAAAAAAAAAACAATAAAGACACCCTACTTTTTTTCATA